CCCCAAAACCCCAAAACCCCAAAACCCCAAAACCCCAATTTAAATTTATTTTATTGAATCTTTATAATAATTTAAAATGGATAACTTAACCAATATGACTCTTGAAGAGTTATCCCAGAAACTTGAAGGATTGGAGAAAGACAATGAACAGCTTAGAAGAGAGAACCAACTCTGAGAATCCTACATTAAGAGAAAACAACATGACATGGAACAAAGAGGTGAGGACTACCCCTCGATTTCTAATAAGAAAAGTGGTAGGAAGCAGAAGCAAAGAGAAAATTATGAGCTTACTCCTGACCAAAAATATGACATTGCTAATCAAGAACTCGAGACTTTGAAGTCCAATATTGAAGAAGGAAGGGAGAAATCTGAGGAACTTCTTGAACGACTCAAAGCAATCCTTGAAGGAACTGATCTTAATATTGCAGAAATCAGGAAAGAAGCCTTCGACTTTGGCCGTTTCTTGTCCTCTTCAGAGAATGGAAGAACTGGAAAATACGATGCTGATAAACTGACTAAATATATCGAGGATAAATTCAGACAGAAAGAAGCTCTTATGGATAAACTCCAGTTAAAGAACATTTCTCTTAGGAATCAAATCATGAAAGCTGAATCCCAAATCAAGCACAAGGAAGAAATGGGAGATGATCTGAAGTTCATTGATTTCCATCAGCTCCAAATTGAGAATAAGAAACATGTCAAAGATATTGATGAAAGGAACCAAAAGTTACTTAAACTAAAACTGAAGACGACTAAAACCGTACAAAGATTAGCTCAGTTCAAGAACCGTCTTAAGACAGAGCTTGACCAGGAGAAGGATAAACAAGATGATATTATCTCAATGAAGCAGAAACTTAAGGGTACTAAAGAAGATATCATTCTGGTTAAGAGAGAGTCTAAATAAATATCAGAACGAGTTCAGAAATCTCAATGCTCAAAAGAACAGGAATAAAGACATGCCTGGCGTTGAAGAGTATGTCAAGCAAAAGCAAACTGTTAGCGAACTCAAAAACTCAGTTAAAAACTGGAAGAGGAAGATCGAGATTGCTGAAATTGCCTGCAAAGAAAATCAGAAGAAGATGAGAAGAATTCAAAGATCACACATGATGCAACAAGAAGAAATGGAATAAGCCTTTAACGATTCTTCAATTAAAGGGGTATAGTTTGGGGTTTTGGGGTTTTGGGGTTTTGGGGTTTTGGGGAG